GTGTGTGTGTGTGTGTGTGTGTGTGTGTGTGTGTGTGTGTGTGTTCAGTTCACTACTGTTTACAGAAGTTGGGGAGGAAGAAAACGTAAATTCAGGTGCTTAATCCATGATGTTTTCCATTTAAAATACCTGAGTCTATTTTTAAGCTTAGAAAATAAAGCATCAGGTTTGCATTTTAATTCAGTGAGCAAAGTCACTTTCAAAGTGACACTTTCAAAGCTACAGTGCTGTTTGACACCTGTTTTGGGGGGTTTTGTTGTTGTGTTTTTTTTTTGTTTTTTGTTTTTTTTTTTAAAAAGCAGTCCAAGTGGCATGGATATTGACTGAGGGTAAGATCTAAAAAGAAGGGCATCTAGCTGGACATGGTAGTGCACGCCTTTAACTTGGGAGACAGAGGCAGGCGGATCTCTGTGAGTTCAAGTCCAGCCTGGTCTACATAGTGAGTTCCAGGACAGCTGGGGCTACAGGGAGACCCTGTCTCAAAAAAAAAAAAGGGGGGGGGGCATCTTGAATTCAGAAAAAGATGCAATGTAAATGTAAGCTACTCACATAGGCAAATCTAACTTAGGTTCCACTCTAGATTTTTTTCAAGCAACAATGTTCAGCCAAACGAATACCTTGACTTGATATAAGACATGATGTAATTTTTTAAAAATATTTTAGTTATTATTTTTATATGTGTGTATTGCCTGAACATAGGTAAGTGCACCCATGTCGTGCAATGCCTGCGGATGACAGAAGAGGCTGTCAGATCCCCTGGAACTGGAATTATGGACAGTTGTTAGCTGCCATGTGGGTGCTGAGATTTGAACCAGGGTCTTCTACAAGAACAGCCAGTGTTCTTAACCACTGAGCCATCTCTCCAGCCCTGATAACAGTAATTTTAAAAAAGAGATTGGCCAACAATTCTAAGTTGCCTGTTCTCCAACATAATAATGAAAATATGCCAGACACAATTAGTATACATTTTCTATCAAAGCATAATTCATTGCCAGATAAAACACTAAATTTCAGGTCATTTTCCTTATAAAAACAATTAAGCTTTAACTACTTGAAGTTTCTTCACTTAATTTTAGTTTAAAAAAAATTCAAGAAGTGATTGCAGTTTATTAGCTAAATAAAATGCATACTTAGAACAAAGTCAGCTATTACACAAGCAAACCAATGACTATTTGAATTTTTTGCTCAGGAGTAGAAAGTATTAAAGAGTAACACAGTCTAAAATATAACTGGTGTATCCTTAGAAATATAGTTTATGAAATTGCAGAATATAGCCTTTTTTAATATACCCACGGATATTTTGTGTAAATATAGGACATACACATGGGGGCATGAAAATGCCAAATTTTCCCATATCTTCAGGCATGGTGGCACACGCCATTGATCTCAGAACTCCAGAGACAGAGGCAGGTGCAGGTGGATCTCTGTGAGTTCAAGGCCAGCCTGGTCTACATAACGAGTTCCAGACAAGCTGGGGCTACAGGGAGACCCTGTCTCAAAAAGACCAAAAAGAAAAAGAAAACTCCAAAGTGATTCTTATATACTGGCTAGCAAGCTCAGGTTGCTAATTTTTATTCTCTACTATGAGATGTTTACAATACTCATTTCCTATTCTTTCTAAACTACAGAAGAAAGAAAATTCCTTTTGCTTATGAAACAAGGCTTTAAAATCTACCATTATCTATTATGAACAGATTTGCCTACATGGTCCATATAACAGCACCAACTAAATCCTACATCATCCCAAATGGAGGCATTGGATTCAAACCCTCAATATTTTGGCTATTTTCCTCCATTCACAGTAGAATATGAGAATGAATTTGATAAAATGTCTTTTTGTTTGAGTCAGGGTAGCCTGGAACTCTCTAAGTTGCTGAGGATGACCTTGATATATCCTTAAGGATATCCTCCTGCCTCTACTTCCCAAGTGCCAGGACTGTACATGTGCATCACCATGCCTTATTTTATGTGGTGCTAGGGAACTGAACCCAGTTCCTCAATCATGCTAGGCAAGCATTCTACCAACTGAGCTACATTCCCTGCCCAAAATGTCTGTTGTGAATAGTGAGAACACCAAGCTTCAACCAATACATTTTACCCTTTCTTCCTTTCTTTTTTCTTCCTTTTTCCCTCCATCTCTCCCTCCCTTCTTTTCTTACATGTACATGGTGTGTGTCATGCATGTGCGTGTGTGTGTTTGTGTGCATACACAGGAGTGCACATGCCATAACGCACATGTGGAGGTCAGAGGACAACTCTAGGTAACAGTCTTCACCACCTTCCACCTTGTCTGAAACAGGGTATTTTTGTTTCCCGCTGCATATGCCAGGCCAGCCGATCCTTGAGCTGTGAATTCTTCTGTCTCTGCCTCCCATCTCACTGTATGAACACTGGGATTATAGGTATGTGTTATTGCTCCTGGCTTTATGTGGGTTCTAGAGATTTGAACTTGAGTCCTCACACTCGCATAGCAAGCACTTTACACACTAAGCCATTTCTTCAGACCCCAATCTTTTTCAAACTTCATTTCATACAAGGAAAATGTACTGATCTGCCCAGGCATCCTATCACTTCTCCCAAATCGTATTTCTTTTGCCAAGAGATGTGATTATACTGTCCCTGCTATGTCAGAGAGGAATAAATATCCCCAAGAACTAAAATTACAATGGGTGCTAATTTTTAAACCTTATCTTTTAAAAAGATTAGCAATCAAGAGACATTTGTTTCCTGCTTTGGCTCTCTCCTGTGACTTCTACAATATTCCTGGTACAGACTATAAACTTTAGAACTCCAAAGACTAATTAGAGGGCAGGGAAAAAGAATCCTAGCACACAGAGTATAGCCAGTAAGCCACTGATGCCCTAGATACCGTCACACTGGCGATTTCAAGGCAGGACATAGCCTCACTTTTGTAATTTGCCCCTTTCCTTTTTTTGTTGTTTGTTGCTGTTGTTGTTTGGGGGGATCAAACCACTGGACTGTCCCCCAGGATCAGAGAGGCAGCAGCCAGCAGCAGAAGTCAGACATATTCTATTAGCAATTAGGTGCTTGGGTAACTTTCCATGATGCAGGCTGGGCAGTTCAGCTTGGGATTGGTTGGTCTTTGGATAAGCAGAGGGACTTTCCCAGGCTAAGTTTGGACCCGCCATTTTAGGAGTCTGTCAGCAACCTAACATTCCAGCCTTTTATTGATAGAAGGGGCGACAGTGATCTTTCTTTAGCTACTTCCTGCTGGACAGGGATGTTGGCAAAGAGAGGTGGTCTCAAAAGGCTGGAACATCAGTCTGAAGTGCAGGGTCAGGTGAGCAGGTGGTGGTAGGAGACCTGAGGGAATGTGGTAATAGCATCTGGTTCACTGATCATAAGGTTAGCTCACTGATTCTGTCCCAAACTGTGTCAGAGGGCAAGCGGGACAGAGCTGGCAGAGGCAAAATGGTCCACGGTCCATATCACAGGCAGGAGTGTCTGGTCAGCAGTTTGGTTCAGTAAAAAGAGGAACCTGATCTTAGAAAAACCAGGCATTCCTCCTGGGTTTTTGGTACTATATGTATGGAAACGTGCGTGAAGACCACTGCCCAAGACACCTTCGTGGGGGACAGAAGTTTATTGGGGGGAATCAAACCACTGAACTGCCTCCTAGGATCAGAGAGACAGCCGTAACTTTCTGCTTTCATGTGCCCTATGTGTTCCCTTCTTGAGCTCCTGTGAAGACATAGAAGGGGAAGGGGAAAACAAAGCCAGTAGAGAAGTCTCCTGAGGTCCATTCACAACTACTTCAGAGCAGCAATGCAAAGGGGGATGTGCCCCAAGGTGGAGACTGAAACCCATCCTCTGGCCTCACAGAAGCTAGAAGTTTGTAAGTTACAGAACAAACTGTACTGAAGTTTACGGGAAACTACTTTTTATCTGGAAGAAAACCCTCCAAACTGCTCGTTTCTCCTTGCCCCTTTCCATTACTAGATCTTAGCGATTTGCAAATTACCTTCAATCATATGCCAGTAAGTGTCCTAGAAAGTACTAAACTTTCAACAAATCCTTAATTTATCTCAGCACACAATAAGTTCTCTAAGGTCAACAATAGTCAGTAAAATTTGAATCATAAAACACATGTACTATATAAGAGACTTCAGAAGTCACCAAGTTCAAACTCTTCATTTGAAAAGGGGAAAATGGGGCCTAAGAGAAGGAATGACTGACCCAGGGTCTAATACCAGGCCAAAGTCTGGGTCTTCCCGGTCTAAGGACAAACTGAGGTTCTTTCTCTCTGCTCAGTTCTCAGCAACTTGACTACCTGGTCCTTATCTTTTTCTTTGTTGCATCCTGTGTCTCCCTAGATGGCTGTTAATTTGATACTGCATTTATTTAAAATAAGGCACTGGGTTTTCTATTGTTTCTGTGAAATATGATCACCATAAGAATTTGGAAAACATAGACTTTTTTCCTATTTTTCTACATGAGTTTGAGCAGAACTAGAAAGTGCCAAACATTATGAAGAACCAGAAAAAAAATCATAACCCATAATCTTGGCAACTTGTAGGGATCACCATCATTAACATTTTGGAGTAACTCCTTCCAATCTTTTTTTCCCTAAATATTTCATATAATTATAAGTTCACATTCTACATTGTCATTTTCACTACAGTATATTCCTGTGGGACTCAGACCCACTCCATACAAGGACTACTTTTCTCTTTCTTCAGTAGGAATTCATTTATTTAGAGAGTAATCAGATACTCAAAACCATGGTCACAGTTTCATTCTGTGGTTTGGGAGTCTTTTTGGTCTATTTTATGGAAACTGTTTTGAAATTATTTTGCTGCCAAAAACCTTCATGTGCTTTCTTCTGTTTACTTGAATTAAGGAAAACATCCCACTGCGAGATGTGGTGACACATTTCTGCAATCCCAGCATTTGGGAGATGGAGGCAGGATCAGGAGTTCAGTGTCACATTGGGCTACATAGTGAGTTGGAGGCCAGCCTAGGTTATGTGAAACCCTGTCTCAAAAAATAAACCTTCCACAGACAAGTACAGCACGTAGATATTTGCACTTAAAATAAAATACACATTGAAAGTGCCAATTTTACAAAGGACAGTTACACTGAAGCAAAACAAAACTATTCTATGATGATGTACACCTGGATTCCGAGAACTTGGGAGGCAGAGGCCAGCCTGGTCTGTATCTAAGTTCTAAGCCAGTTAGGGCTCCATGACAAGACCCTGTCTTAAAAAATAACAATAAATAAAAAGTAAATAAGCCAAAATTGAGAAGTCAAAGAGATTCAACATTATATTCCCATAGTAAGAAAACAGAAGGTGAAACCCTTCTCTTTACACTCTTACCCCAGTCTCAAAGGCCAGCTCTAAGCAACTTCAATTTTTAGAATTATTTATCCCATAATTCTTACTTAGTCATAGCAAAAAGATATTGCACAATGATCACACCCCCTTCTCTAATACTGGGCAAAGGTTCATTTGGGCACAAAGGTAGAAATTCATAGTAGACTCAGTGTTAATTCCCCAAATGCATCCACCACTGTGAAAATGCACACGGACCACTGCATGAGGGAATGTAAAGGGAAAACCTCCTACTGGAACAAACTGCACTTGGTGCCTGGCTTTTGTCTAAGTGCAAAGAATAAGCTATTAAAAGCCACTAAAGAAACCAAGGAAGCCCATCAATAAGGAAAATTCAATCTCTGTCAACATGTTTATTAACTAGAGATTCAAACTGGCAATACTAAAACTAAAAAAAAGATAGGCGCTGATAGAGCTCAGTGATAGAGCACTTGCCAGCATGTGTAAGCTCTGGGGTTCAATCCTCAGTCCTTAAAAAAAAAAATTAAATACAGCATGGATCAAACGCATGACAAACACAGCAATTACATAATTACGCATTGGTCTGCAGATTCGTAGGCCAATTACAGAAGAAAAAGTACTCATGCTTTTAGCAGTAAATAACATTAAAAACTGGAACCTAACAATGCTTTTTTCTGGTCTGACAAAACATGGCCTTATAAAGGGCTTCCTTCCACGCAGAATTCCTCCTGACCTTGGTGGACAACATCAGAGGTCACCCAGAATATATGTGATGGCTAACTTGCCAATGAAGGGAGCAGTCCTTTACCTCCCAGCAGATCTGATCATCAGCTAAGCACTCTGGCTCAGATTGAAAGGGTTAGTTTCTATTACCACTCAAATCTGAGGAATAACATGGGCCAGAGTCTTCAGTAATCCATGGCACTTGAAGACCAATATGCTGCAAGAAAATGGTTGGCATGGCCAGATCTTTTGAGGGTATCAAAGCTTCTCTAGGAGCCTTCAATCACTTCTGGCACTGGCTGTATTTTCAGACAAATCCTTTGAAGCACTTCCTTTTTTTGATTATGGACACTGGGTTAGAACATTTAAATCAAATGGATTTAGAAATGCATAATTAAGGGGCTGGAGAGATGGCTCAGCCTTTAAGAGCACTGGTTGCTCTTGCAGAGGATCTGGATTTGATTCCCAGCACCCACATGGCAGCTAACAACCATCTGTAACTGCAGTTCCAGGGGAATCCTATGTCCTCTTCTGACCTCTGCAGGCACTGCACAACACAGGCTCACTTACATACATGCAGGCACACACATACACACACAAAATAATAATAAAAATAAATACATTAAAAAAATCAAGCTGGGCGTGGTGGCACACGCCTTTAATCCCAGCACTTGGGAGCCAGAGGCAGGTAGATCTTTGTGAGTTCAAGGCCAGCCTGGTCTACATAGTGAGTTCAGGTCAGCTGGGACTACAGGGAGACCCTGTCTCAAAAAGACAATAAATAAATAAATAAATAAATAAATAAATGCCTACTTCAGATAAATAAACTAGTAAAGGGTTAAGTCTCTACTGTTACTGTTTAATGTTGATCTGCAGTGCTTACTGCACAGCCCAAAAAACACAGAAGAGAGTCCCAGCACCATCTACTTAACTCTAGCAACCTGTATAGTCAGTCCTAATCTGCAAAAGAAGGTAATCTATCAGCACCTATGACTGTGGTGAGGACACAGTCTGTCACAAAGGTATTTAGTTGTAAAGTGACTATTACAAATCACATGTTTGTTCGCAGAACTTTTTTTTTAGAGTCACACATCATCTGTTTAAAGTATGAAGTTTGCCAGGGAAATTTATTAATTTTTAAACTCATGATATTGCCATTCGCTACAGTTTGGATCTTGAATGTCCCTCAAAGGCCCATTAGGTGTCAGAGGCTTGGTCTCCACAGTGGTGCTACTGGAAGGCCATGGGATATTTATGAACAGAACTTTAGGTTATTGGGATGTGTCCTTGAAGGGGACTGCACCCTTTCTCCATTCTCTTTCTGCTTTCTGGCCACACATACATGGTTTTCCTCTACCATACATTCCCACCATGATGTTGCCACAGTCATGGGCTGAAACCCCCAAACTATGAGCTAAATTAGCCCTTTCCTCTTGATAAATTGGTTATCTGAGGTATTATAATAATGGAAAACTGAGAAACATACCACTTCTAATCAACAAGACATCATAAGCAATTAGTGTCTATGTCATTAGAGATTTGAAACATTTACCTGCAAGCTGTTGTTCAGTAAATCAAAGTCACTGTATCTTCTAACAATCTGTAAAGAGACAAGACAGTGATGTTTTGATTCGGCAAAGATAGCAATTTCCACCTTCCTGACTTGGTATTTCCTGACACTCTAGAGCTGAGCCCTGTGCTGAGTAAAGGCGTCCTGGTGCTGCCTTGCTTGACTCAACAGGCCCAAAAAGTGGACCTAGCAGTAACCAGAGGTTGGCTGGGCTGCAGAAAATGGGCATCAACACACATAAGCGACTGAAACCAGAAAAAGGTTTTGGATTTTGTTTTTCAGGACAGAATATCTTTCCTATTAACTGAGCACATGGAGAGATGGATTAATGACTTACAAAAAAGAAAACAAAGTTTTACTGAGCTTAAATGAAAACAAAAGGAAGTGGATCATTTTGAGGCCATCTGTTCCATCAGGGATAAAACTCCACCCAGTTAAAATGCCACCTCCCCTACAACTGTACCTGTGGTAGGGCTGCCTCACCCCTTGGCTGACAGTCCTCCTCCACTGTCTATATACTGTCTTTGCTGATTAGAACACAGCCAAATCCTACTAGCCTGGGGTAAGGAAATCATTTTGCTTTTGAATAGTTTGACTTTATTAGTGGTTCTCAAATATTAGTATGCAGAAGAATCACCTGGATACTACTTAGAACCCCATCTAAAGAGAATTTAGTTCAGTTGGAGCCTAAAAGTCCCTTTTTGTCAAGAAGCCCCAGGCTTATAATGCAGTAGACTTAGATAATAGTTTAGAAAACTTTTTTAAAAATATTTATTATTTTTATTTTATGTATATGAGTGTATTGCCTGTATGTATGTGAGTGCATCCATGTCGTGCAATACTGTGGAGGTCAGAAGGGGGCTTTGGATTCCCCTGGAACTGGAGTTAAAGACGGTTCATAGCCGCCATGTGGGTGCTGGGAATTGAACCTGAGTCCTCTGCAAGAGCAGTTGGTGCTCTTAACTTCTGAGCCATCTCTCCAGCCCCTAGAAAATTATTTTTAAAATATTTTTAATTTATTATTTTTATTTCATGTGTAATGAGTGTATAGCCTTCAAAAATGGGCACCCGTGTCTTGCAATGCCCACAGAGGTCATAAGAGGGCATCGGATCCCCGAGAACTGGAGTTAGGGACAGTTGTTACCTGCTATGTTACCTGCTGGGAATCAAACCTGGGTCCTCCGCAAGAGTAGTCAGTGCTCTGAATCACTGAGTCATCTCTCCAGCCCCATAGTTTAGACAACTATTATCTAGGCTTGATTATTCTGATACAACATTGCTTGCCAAATACATCAAAAAAGTTATATGTGAATCCACCCCCAACAATAAGAAAGCACAAAGTAGGTTAGTGCTTAACTATAGAAAACATGCAAATTTCATCTCTGTTCCACTAAAGGTCTAGGTGTGACCTCAGACTGTTACTGATCTCGCCAATGTAAAACAGGAACAGTACTGTTACAGAGAAATAGTTTCAAAGAGTAAAATAATGTGCTTAAATCAGTGTTGAAACTTCATAAATACTCAACAGATAGTAAATGTAATAAATATTCAAACAAAAAGCAGTTTGAAACTCTAGGCAAAGAAAAGACCAATTCTGCGCCACTGTGGTCAGACTGCCTAAGCTGAAAGCCAAGGCTTGAGGCTGTAAAGCACAAGGTGAGATTTTTAGAAGTGGTAGGATGGCAAACGTAATTACTAAAACAAGAAAGGGCCCCATACAGAATTCAGCTACCCCCTGCAATCCAACTGAGGTGGGAATGGCCTAGCTCTCTCTGAGGTCAGCACTGATGAAAAGCAGAGTCAAAGACCTCAAGAAGGACAATGGAGGAGGAGCTGCCCACAGTGGACTTGGGTGTCCATGAAATGTAGTGACCACACTGTACAATATTTAGGACACTTTTTACCTGTAACCCTCTCAGCTGTAACTTTCTGGGTTTAGCTAGAGAATAAGTTTCTAGATACTCTTCCTGGTAGCACCATATACAATTTAATCAAGCTGCTAGGAACAGAAAAGCTTTTTATAATGCATGTCTTAATGCTAGAGGCCTAGAGCTGGAGCAATGACTCAAGAGTTAAGAGCACATATTGCTCTTGCAAAAGTCCCAAGTTTGGTTCCCAGCACTCATATTTGGCAGCTCACATCTCCCTGTAATTCCAGCTCCAGGGGATCTAACTCACTCTTCTGGCCTCTGTGGGCACGGCACTCATATAGACAAACCCACACTCAAACACATATACGCATAATTAAAAATAATTTTTCTAGGGGCTGGAGAGATGGCTCAACAGTTAAGAACACTGACTGTTCTTGCAGAAGACCCGGGTACGAATCCCAGCACCCACATGGCTGCTAACAACTGTCTGTAACTCCAGTTCCGGGTATCCAACAGCCTCTTCTGTCCTCTGCAGGCATTGCATGCTACAGGTGCACTTACCCACATGCAGGCATAATACTCATATACATAAAATAAAAATAATAAAATATTTTTAAAAATTAATTTTTCTAGGGGCTGGAGAGATAGCTCAGTGTTTAAAAGCACTGACTGACCAAGGTTCGGCTCGCAGCACCCACATGGTGGTTAACAATCATCGAAATCTCCAGTTCCAGGGGAATCTGATGCGCTCTTCTGACCTCCGTGGGCATTGCATGACACAGGTACACTTAACATATATGCAGGCAATACACTCATACATAATTTTTTTTTTAATTTTCTAAAAGCAAAAGGGTTACATACTTAAAAGAAACATGATTTATAATACATGAATATTCTGATTTCCAGATTTTTAGATACTTGGAGACCGAGTTTTGGCCAAAGTTTAAACATTTTTTTTTTTTCTAACAGACAAAAAAATGCTTACCTGCCAGCTGTTTTCCACAGAAATTCCTCTTTGTACCCGGATGATATATTCCTAAAAGTAGTGGAGGAAAGAAAGAATCTTAGTCATAAAATAAAGAAGTGGGTTGGGGTGTGGCTTGGTGGTCAAGCACTCATGTAGCGTGAAGAAGGCTCTGGGTTCAGTCCTTAGCCTAGAGCAGGGAGAGCCAGCCATGGTGGTCATGTAATCCCAGTGCTAGGGAGACTAAAACAGGAGAAAGCCAAGTTTGAGGTCAGTCTGGGCTGTATAGCAAGAGTCTGTTTCAAAAAGAAAAAAAAAGTGGGGTGGATGCCAGATAAATGTAAGATTTCAGAGAAAAGAAAATGACAGGTCAAAGCATAGAGTCTCTAATCTGGAAATCCCAAATCAAATCTAATGCATTCTGAGAACTGGCATCATACTCAAAAGGTTTCAGATTTAGCAGGATGGTGGCATGATGCCTGAAGGACCCTGCATCCCAGCACTCAGGAAATAGAGGTAGGAGAAGCATGAGTTTGAGGCCAGCCTGGGCTCTGTGTGTGTGTGTGTGTGTGTGTGTGTGTGTGTGTGTGTGTGTACACAGAGATCCTGTATCAAAAAAAATGTAAAAATAGATTAAAAAATACCTCAGAGCAAAGAAAATTTCAGGCTGAGCATCTCTAATCTGAAAATCAAAAAAATCCTCTGAAATCTAAAATATTTTTGAGTACAAGGTGGAGGCACATTCTTATATCCCCAGCATTCTGTAATCCCAGCACATGGAAGGCACGAAAATCACCAGTTCAAGGCCAATTTTGGCTACACAGTGAGACTGTATTTAAAAAAAAAAAAAAGAAGTTTCAATTCACAAAAATTCAATTTAAATAAATAAAAAATAAAAACATCAACAAGAATTTCTATATAATTAGATAAACTCATTCTAAAGTTCATATAGAAAAATAAGCATTTAAGATGAGCCAAAAAGACTTTGAAACAGATGATTAATAAGGATACTAGACCAACACAGAGAAGTGTTTGTTTTTTTTGTTTTTTTTTTTTTCTTTTTGAGACAGGGTCTCCCTGCAGCCTCAGCTGGCCTGGAACACATTATGTAGACCAGGCTGGCCTGGAACTCACAGAGATCCGCCTCCCTCTGCTGGGATTAAAGGTGTGCACCACCATGTTCGGCCACAGAAAAGTTCTATGAAAAAAAAAAGTTTCAGATTTTTAGCCTGAGGCTGTAGCCCACTGATAAAGCACTTGAGTACCCTGGGTTTGATCCCTAGCACTGAGGGGGTAAAGTTTCAGATTTTGGAGTACTCTGGATTTTCAGTATCGGGTACTCAAGCAGCAATACCATGCTAATATCCCCAAATTTGACACTGAATCTTCTAGTCCTTGGCATTTTGACTAAGTGACATCCAACCAATGCCCGAGATGGAGAAGAACATTCCATAAAGACAAAATTGAGATGGGATCAGCTATCTTATTGTTCTTCTGTTTTGTTTTCTGTTTTCTGGTATGTTAGTTTCTGCTCTAGTCTATACTTATTTCCTTCTGCTTGCTTCTTTTTTCCCTTAGGCTTCTGGGATACAGCTGAAATTGCTAATTGGGTGCTAGTCTCCTTTTTATTTTATTGATTTTTTTGTAAATTTTTTATTTAATTTTTGTGTATTTCAGGCTATTTCAGGCAGAACATCTTAATCATCTTTTTTTTTTTTTTTTTCTCTTTTTGAGACAGGGTCTCCCTAGCTGTCCTGGAACTCACTATGTAAACCAGACTGGCCTTGAATTCTTAATCATCTTTATACCCGCTTCCCCACTGGCACCTTCCCATAGCCCCCCTACCAGAATTCATACATTCTGTCATTTGTGTTAAGGCCTATCAAGTCAAGTTAGGATCCCCAGATATCCCTCAGTATAAGTTCATCCACTGAGGTCTAGTCAGTCTAACTAGAGTCCCTCCCTTTAAGAAGATCAGCTCTTAGGCCAGGCATGGTGGTCCAGGACTTTAATCCCAGCACTTGGGAGGCAGAGGCAGGTGGATCTCTGTGAGATTGAAGCCAGAGTTCCAGGCTACAGGGAGGCCCTGTCTCAAAAAGACAAACAAACAAACAAAAAAGATCAGCTCTTCCTCACCTAGCAATAATCAGCTGCCAATAATTCTTTGTCTAAGACTGGGGCCTGCTGTCCATTTCCACAGTTCTGTGCTGGGTTTTTGTCTGCTTGAGTTTGCGTGGGTCTTGTGCATCCTGACACCATTGCTGTATGTTCCTATGAGAAGGGTTCCAGGAGCCCGTAGGACTCTATTTCTGTATGGTCACGCACCTCCTCCTTGGCTCTTACAATCTTTCCGCTCCCTCTTCCTCAATGGTTCCTAAGCCCCAAGTGGGTGGGGTTTAATATTAGAATCCTGTTTAAGGACCCACATTCTGTAAACTCTTATTCGTTATGCTTTGACCATTTGTGACCTTTTGTAATCCTGGCCCGCTGTTGCATGAGGGAGCTTCATGGAAGAGAATTGAGAGATGCATTGGTGTTCTCTTTATCCCTTGTTCTATGTTCCGTGAGCCTTAGATGTAGAGGTTGCATCCTAGATGTGCCACTTAGGCTTGGGCAATTCACAATCTCTATGTATGACCAGGTGTGGAACTTTGTAATAATCTCTGTTGCAAAAGAAGCTTCATTAATGAGTGATGACTAGCATACTTGCCTATAAATATAAGGATCCATATTTTGCACATAGTAAGAAATTACATTTGTCTAGGGATGTGACAGCTTTGGGGTTTTCTCTAAGATTTGTGATCTCTCCAGCTATGTGTATTTGGCTAGGTTTATAGTACCAGACATGAGTTTCCTCCTATTGAGTGGACTTTAAGTCCAATTAGGAAGCTGCTGATCACCCTCAAGATAAAAGTGCCACTACTGCACCAATGTCATTTGCTGTGCCAGTCACTGATGTGGTTATTAGGTCTTAAAGCTGGGGTTGGACCATCGATTGATATTCTCCCTTGGCAGCTTTGTAGTGCTCTCCAAAGCTGTGAGAGCTAGCCTTCAGGGGAGGTGGCTTCCAGGTCAATTCTAGCTCCATTGCTCCAAATTCTGTGTCTGAAGTATATCCGTCTTCTGCAACAGGGTCTTACCTTCAAGTTCTGGGAGGCCATTAAGGACTGTGGCAATAGCCTATGTAATTTTGGGAGTCTCTTGGACTACCCTGGCCAACAACTCAAAGGAAGGTTTCTCCTGTCTGACACTGTTTCTTATTATGTATTCTCCTTCTTTTACATAAGCATTTGACACTTACATATCCCTCTTAGCACTCTTTTAGATGTGTCTCACAAATTTTGATCTGTTGTTCTAGAGGAAGAAATGTTTCCTCATCTCTCCTTGTAACTGATATTAACAGGAAAAAGCATAGCAAATTTGTTTATAAGTTTTATGTGACATGGAGTCTTCAGAAATTAAAACATACGGGCTGAAGATCTAGCTCAGCGATTAAGAGCACTGGCTGCTCTTGCAGAGAACCTGGGTTCAAATCCCCGTACCCACATGGCAGCTAACAACCATCTGTAACTCCAGTTCCAGGGGATCCAACACCCTATTCTGACTTCTGAGGGCAACGCATAACACGGGTACATTTATATACATGTAGGCAATACACTCATATACATTTAAAAAAAAAAAGAAGGGGCTAGACAGATGGCTCAGTAGTTAAGAGCACTGGCTGTCCTTGCAGAGGACCCAGGTTCAATTCCCAGCACCCACATAGCAGCTAGCAACCATCTGTAACTCCAGTTCCAGGGAATCTGATGCCCTCTTCTGATCTCCGGGGGCATTGCACGACACGGGTGCACCTACCTACATGCAGGCAATATACTCATACACATAAAATAAAATAAGTAAAATATTTTAAAAAGAAATTAAGATAGAAACACTCAAGGAAAACTGTCTATTTTCTGTGTTTATATTCAATAAAGAATGGACAGCCATTCCAGTTCCAGGGAATCTGATGCCCTCTTCTGATCTCCGGGGGCATTGCACGACACGGGTGCACCTACCTACATGCAGGCAATATACTCATACACATAAAATAAAATAAGTAAAATATTTTAAAAAGAAATTAAGATAGAAACACTCAAGGAAAACTGTCTATTTTCTGTGTTTATATTCAATAAAGAATGGACAGCCATTTAGAAATGGGTTTGGACTAAATGATATGGCTTGTTTTTGAAATAGGTCCCTCTATGTAACCCAAGCTGACCTTAAACTTGCAATCCTCTTATCTCAGCCTCCTGAGTGCTGAGAGTAGAGGTATGTGCTGCCATGTCTAGCTGAGGGTACATTCTTACAATGAAAGACAAAATGGGGAAGCTAGGTGGCCTGTCTGCTCAGATTCTTCTCAGTGCCTGTGTGTGGCATCTTTCTTCCTAGGTGAAGGACAGGATCCTTTCTGAAAGGAGAGGCTTAGGATCTACTGTCAGGTAAGATAGATCAAAGAACAAAGACTTTGATGTATCTACAGGTATTTATGAGGGAGTTTCCAGAAAGGGTTAGCTGCAGAGGGAAGACCTGCCCTGAACCAATGGATTCCCAGACTGACTGAACAAAAAGGAGAAGGTGAACTGAGCTCCAGCATCCATCTCCCTTTGCTTCCTGACTGTGGCTGTAACGTGACCTCACACTCCTGCCATCTGTCTTCCCTGCCATGATGGACTGAATTTTCAAACTGTGAGTCAAAATAAACCCTTCCTCCCTTTTGTCAGGTATTTTGTCACAGCAATGGGAAAAAAAATAGTACAGTTTGTTAAAATACAGTTTGGTAATTAAAACTTAAATTAAGTTTTATTCAATCCCTGGATCATATGAGGTGGCAAAAAATAAATAAAAATAAAAATAAACTGACTCTGGAGAACTATCCTCTGACCTCCAAACAAGAGCTGTGGCATGTGTGCACCTGCTCTCTCTCTCTCTCTCTCTCTCTCTCTCTCTCACACACACACACACACACAAATTTAATTTTAAAAACAAATTAAGTTTTAAAGAAACCAGTAAAATTGACTACATATATTTC